TAAGTCTAGCATGTTAAAATACCGATTGAATCAATCGTTTCAAAGACATCTTTCGTCGAAGATAACTTTACCGGTATTATTTAACTATTGCAATTAATTATTATTAACTGGCAACTAACAAACGAGTCTATTTGCCTTGGAAAATTCCAACATATTGTTCAAAATCCTATCATTACAGAACAAGTCCTACGACTGCAAATTATTTCCCACGTAATGATGCGCTGACAACCCAAACTCAGTCAATGCGTGCAAAATAAGTTAACAAATACAGCGTACAATTGATCTTTGTTGCTAGACGCAACGTGTCTTTGAAACTATGGATCCAACAACAGTACATTGCTCAATACCATTGATCGGAGACTCGAAAATGGAGACAAGACTCACTCTTGCGTTTACGATAGCGTTTACAGACACACGACTCATGATATTATTCACTTGTAGACGAGTGATGCCGTTCTAGTTTCTCGTAACGACGGTGTATACTTTGTAAAAGGATGCAGAATGAAATCAGCATTTTTCCTTCAGGTTAAAAATTACCAGAAATGGGTCTCGAAGCCGCACGAGAAGAGAGGAACTCTGGATAATCATTTCAAGCATGCATGAGCGCGAATAAGAAGGAATGAATGAGAAAAGGAGCTATGTACACAAAACCAGCGTTAAGAAATTCCTAAGAACATCCAGAGAAAAAGCTTTGCAAGAATTCGCGTTTGAATTGGAAACATCTTTTCTTAAACGTAGTAATGAATCTTTGATTTGAGAAATTAGCCTCCTGAAAAGCTCACTTGCTCGCTTTGCAATTCGTTGCAGAATCCAGGTTTGAATTTGGAAGCATCGATTCTTTTTTTAAATATAAACACCAGTCAGTTGAAATGAACCTCTTACTTCTGGAATTTGAAGCATTAGAATTGATATCTTCTTGAAAAGCTTGAACAAGTTAGGAAAACAAACGAGCGTGCCATTTTGTTTCCTAACTGAGGAAGAACGCTGGAGGAAGTTTGTCGATGGTTGAATGCGAAAGAAAGAAAGGATGAGAGCGAGCCTTAGAGATAAATCTTAACGTACATAACATAAACAACACACAACTGCCTAGAAACTCAGATTAATAATATTATAACTTACTATATTATATACAATTACGACCGACATGTCCAAACGCACAAAGGGGCAAGTTTGGCAAGAGACAGCATGTAAATAGAATTGTAATCCACGTGTATATAACGGGGCGATCGGAAGCGTCACTTTCAGATTTTTCACTTCACTCCTCGAAAGCATACTTCTGACCATTTACGACGAAGGAAGAGATTAGTAGCTGAAGTATTAAAGGGATAAGTGGATGAAGTTGTCCGTTCTCTGTTGACCTCGTCTTCTGCGTGCATTATGCTGCCAAATATTCGTTTTATCCTGTTGTCGTTCACTTCTTCCATTTTTTTTCAAACATAGACTTCATTCTTTAGCGTTAGAGACTGGTAGATTATTTTTAAGGATGAATTCAAGAGTAAGAATGAATTCAAGTAACGTTTAGAGTAGAAGAACGATTAGAGATGCGAGTATTGTCAATTCCAGACGAAAGAGACTTTCCCCCAGAAATGCTAGAACGTTGTCATGACAAGTTCTTCGATTCTTTATGCCGAATGCTTTATACTGAATGTCCACTTCAGTTTCTACATCAAACACTTCCTCTTTTTATTCAATATTATTTCTCCTAATCAGTGCACAACTCCAATTTCAGTTCACCTCTGAACCCTAAGCTAACCACCTCTAAATAGAAAACATAGTTGTCCAATGTCTCGCTTAAGGTATTCTTTCTGTTAGTCTAACTTCAAATTTTACCCTACTTCATCCTTAGAACGAGATCCAAACCTTTTTAGATGAATTTAACTAACGGAGAGAGTTGTAAACAAGGGCAGCTATTTCCAAGAAATCGTAAAGAAGAGAACTGGAGAGAGCCAAGAGTGTATAGACGATTGTCGAGGAGACTATGGAAATTAAAATGATATAGAAAGTTTTAATAAATTAATTATTAACGCTACAAGCAGGTGAACACTATACCTAAAGAACATAGTACGTTTTAACACACCTACACACAGACACAGGATGAGGATATGGAAGATCTAATAAAATTAATCCCCGTCGACATTGGTATAGCTGCGAATGTAAAACAGACAAGACTAATCGGAGAACTTTGATTATTTGAAAGTTCTTATATTCTTTTCTGTAAAATATCAACCGAAGCCTCCACTTTTTAATTTGCATTTCAAACTGATGAATCGTAAACTCTAAAGGCTCACGTATGAAATTTACTGGAGAAAATATGGGAATTTTCAAACAAGCAAATGTCCCTTTGTAACTTATTTGCTATTACCTATATAAATACATTATATAGATTATATAAATAAATATAATATATATATATATATTTAAATATATATATATATATATATATAGAAGCGAAGAGTGAGTGCAGATGCGAAGACATTGTGCGAGTGCAAGAGATAGGGAATAAATAAATCAAGAATTTTTTAATGAATTGTCAGACCGCTTTTTCCAACGGCTCTGACGAATTTAGAGGAAAACTTTTAAAGGTGATACGTTATTTAACGATACTTTTAGTTAGACTGAACCCTAGAACGTATATATAAATATATATATATATATAAACTATTATAATTTTAGGAACTTCAATTTGTTTAATGTTGAAAATTCAAGGACAACGTTGAATCGATCGTCTTGAACTCGTTTATAAAAGGAACACTAAAATCGAATCTTGTCTACAAAACATTGAAACTCATTGTATTTTAATATCGGGCAATATTGTAGCAACACCGAGTACATATTCGATTCAGAAAGCTTCGTTTACGTTGTATCTTGCAAATTGTAAATGATTAGAAAACAAATTAACCCTTCCTGGGGCCAGATCATCTGATTCCCAAGTACATTCTTGTCAAAGCTTCCTTGAGGTGGGACTAAGGGTAAAGGGTTAATGATCCATTAGATTTAATGATCCATTAGATCCATTAGATCAACAGTTTATGTCAGTAATAAGAAGGTTCAGCAAGATTAAGTGAGATGTTTTCAAGGATTTACAGACAAAATTCGATTTTTTGATGGCGCAAGATGAATAACTTGCATAGGGAAATATATATGTGAGAGAAATGGGATTTAATAAATTGAGCGAGGACGTAGGCGATAACGATGACAACGACGATGATTTTATCTATGTTAATCTAGAAGACATTGCTGGAACAATGATTTGTACGCCTTCTATGAAGGACCGTAGAGTACATTATGTTACCTAATACTCCTAAGCACACATTATCTAATAAACATTATTTACAAAAGCAACGAATGCCTACGAAAGCGTTTCTCCCTACAGGTAAAAAGAAATCGAAAAAACTCTTCATAACAATACACGCTGTTCTTTTGTTTAATAACTTTCTTTAGAGAGAGAGAGAGGAATCTTTACACGATATTTCTTTATTGTCTTTTTTTTTTTTATTTCAGACTCTGGATAGGAATACAGTACTACATAATGGAAGTAAAGCTACATACTTTAGACAAAGTTCTAATTTCTGATTCGTTCTTCCTGATAACAGGTAAAAGTAACTTCTTTGTAACAATGTATGCTATTTTTTTTTATTTAATAACTCCTTAGGCAAGGAAATCTTTACACGATATTTCTTTAACCATTTTATTTTTGTTTAATTTCAGACTAATTAAGAATAAAGTACTATACAATTGGATAAAGACGACATATACTTTAGACGAAATTCTAATTTCTCATTCATTGGTGCCAAAAAAATAATCCTGATACGTAACAAGGCAGAAGAGAAGAAGACATAGTGCACCCTGTATAA